TTATTATGTGTAAGTTATTGCTGTAACTTTTAATTAATTATTTATTGTATGTATGTAATGTAGCTGTAATATTTTAATGTAACTTAATATCATAGTTAAGGGTTAATAAAAAGCCACTAAAACCACTTAATAATAAGTATCATATGTAAACTATTAATTATTATAATTTAATGTGTTTTTAACATTATATATTGTAAATTAAAGGAAAATAACCCTGCAAAAATAAAACATTAAGTAAATAGGCATTTAGTAACATTTTGTATGTTTTCAGTGTGCTGGACTTGTTAACTAGATACTCTAGTTAACTGTAATAGTGTAATGTAAAACAAAGTGCAGAAACAGTAATATAATGGTTTAAAACATTTTAAAAGTAATACAGTAATTATTTATATTTATTTGTTTATTAACATAATAACACAGTAAACTATTAATAAATCTATTTATGTCAACATTTCAATTTGTTGTATCTTTGCCTGAAGAAGTTTTCTCTGTTTGATAATTTTCAAGAATAACAACTACACTTTGAAATTGAAATGGCCATTTAATAATAAATGACGGAAAAACATATAATACAATGTTGATATGAAAGTTATCAAACTAACATAAAATTGTGAAATGGCCATTTAATAATAAATGACATATAAACATATAAAACAATGCTGATATGAAAGTTATAATATAACATAAAATTGTATACAAAGCAAGCAAACATTTCTGAAAAATGTATATAAAATTATATACACACATATCCCGAAAAATTATCAAAGGTTGGGTTCTAACAATATTGCCTTGCCTAAAACTGTGTATGAAATTAATATACACACATATCTTGAAGTGAAAAGAAAAATCATTTGTATATAAAATTATAAACAAACACAAAACCTTTTTGATGTTTATAAGCTTGTCAAAAATTGAATACTGAATGTGGGTGGGATGGTGGGTTATTGAAAATTGTTATGAATTATTTCTTCTTCTAAAATGGCGGACTTAATCAGCATCAATTATCACATTGTACTTACTCATAACGATAACCTTAGTGTACTTACTAGTACGGCCTTTTCGAACCCAATATATTTCGACCTATGACTAAAGACCTAATGAAACCCACCATCAAGCTTGTAAGTGACCATAAAAACATTTATTTTGCAATAAATTAAGTTATGTAAACCCAAGCCTATTTGAATTTGTAATCTTTTATTTAAATACAAAGTAACCAAAGGTAACAAGTTGTTGATAAGCATAAGATATGCTAGTGAAGTAGTACCTGATGTAAATTAGTTATCATAGAAACCATTATATTCTTGTAAGATATGTATGTGCAGAGGATGGTACATGATAAATATTTAAGACCTCTTGATGTTATTTTAGGAACATAGATCCAAAATCTTAAGAGAAAAGTCAAGACATTTGTATTTAATAAAGGAAGCAATTGAATTGAGTAATATTGTTGGCGTCCGCGCCGAAGCGCGGCGCCCTTATGGAATGAAATCAGATTTTGTGAAAGGGCGACAGCAACTTCTCGAGCCTTTGAGTCTGTCATAATAAAAGCCGATCATTCCGATCGGTATGAGGGTGCTTGATTGAAATGTCGCGATATGTTACAATGAATAGCGAACTGGAGAATTTCGCAATGCAAACATTTTAAAATGAAATTACCTTTTCCGTCAATAAATCGCGCTCTTCGGGGTTTTTATTTATCATTTTGTAGTACACAGTGGGTTATCATGGTATGTTATTGTTGTACATGTATCCTAGAATGATCAGTTGATGACCTAAATATTCCAAAAATCTATTTATAGATATATATATTTATCACTCCTATCCGGTAATTACCGGTCTCTCCCGGTCTATTTTGACCGGGATTTACTAGTGACCGGCGAATAGTACCACACGTTTATTGTCCGGTCTCTCCCGGTTTTGGAGTAGATGTTTGATATCGTTACAATTAGAAGAAAAACAACAATAGCATGTTTCATTTTATCTATATGAGATAAAAACAATAAATATGTACACGGATTTATATGTAATATTAATCCGTGATATGTACAATAATTGAGAAAAAGGTACATTTTTATGGTATTAAAATGACATTATCAACTTTGAAACATTTTATTTAATTCGTTATCCGTGTTTAGTAAAGATGCCGAGGAATTATTCAAAGTTACAAATTAGATTTTATGAATGATGTAATTGATTGATAATTTAAAAAATGATAAAGAAAAAATACAAATGTACATGTACATGTTTTAAAAAAAAAAAAATATTATATATTGAAAGATAAACCATAATTTACTGACTTTTTTCCAGTTAAGCTTTGACTTATAATCGTCGATCAATATGACAATTGAATTCTTAAAATTTATTTTACAATTTTATTAAAAAAAGAGTAGTAAAAACTCAGTATTAAAATAGCACATAAAACACAAAAAAGAAAAGAAAACAATGTTCATAAAATTTGTATTTTTTTAATTAAAATTACTAGATATTACAATTATTGTATAATAAACAATTATGCTCAACATGATCAACATGGTAATATAACCAGTGTCATATTTTTACTAACTTAAAGTGTGAACAGATACCTTAAGAGGGGGTCTTCGCTAATAGCGATAACATAATAATTTAAGGGACAATTACAAAGGTGTGGTACGTGTTGATCATGCGTTACACATATGGATTATAAATGATTGCATACATGTATGTCCGTTGCTATTAATAACCACGATCATAAAGAAATAACAAGTAATATTCTAATCTCTAGCATGCCAATCAAAGTTCATAATGAACAATGTCTTTCGTCCGCTTATTCATAAGTGATATACATTTCTGGTAGTTTATATGAATATCTTGTCATCATATGTGTACTAGTTCATCTTCACTTGCTGCATTTCTTGCTTGGACGCCCTTTGATGCTTTGCATCAATGCTTTTCTTGTAAATCATATATAATACGTATTTTTTTGTAATCTATTGTACGTTTTTATCTTATAATGCAAGATAAACTACTTTAAACTTTTTGACAAAATGGAACAATAAAACACTTACATCTTTTAAAATATGTAATTCTTTCCTCAAATCATATTTGCATCATAATAACAAACAGACGATAAAAAAGTCATTTGATATATATCATATAGGGATGGTCGCTATACGTGTCCGTACTTTTGACACCAAGGGTAAGCGAATTAACAGTTAACTGATAAACTTACCACCTGTCGGCCATATTACATGCAATTATACAGATATATATCTGTCATTCTTTGCATTAATGTAAATAACACATTCTGACAAATATTTTCAAGTTTTTTATTCATCTTATTGTATAATGATTTAAATGAAAAAGAAATATTTGTTTGCTTTTTTTTCAGATTTTTATTCATTTAAGAGTAGGTTAATATAATTAAGAAATATATAACAACATGTGTACAGAAACTTTAAAAAAGTGAATAAAAATGAGAAAAGTGGAATCTTTAAATTTACTTCTGTTTGCATCAAATAATGGGGATTTGTATATTTGCGAATATAATACAAGTATTCTGCACGTTAAATTATCAAGACTGAGAAAGACAATTTTATCTAAAAATTTATAAACATATTTTTTAGAAGTACTAAGCAATTTTCTTTTAAAATATGTTAATCTATCAAATCTGATAATTTTTGTTATTATAATTGTTATTATAATAAAATAAATTTAAAAAATAACCAATGTTTCGGTATCAATTTCATACATAAAATAAATAAAATTTGAGTGTGTCTTGACGATATGATCAGGTACGTAATATACGTACCTGATATGATCTTTCATGATGTTAAGTGATAATGTGTGTGTGTGTTTGCGTTTGTTTACCCTCGCCACCGGAAAGAGACCATATGGGCGAGCATATACTTCATTTATAATCATTAAAAAAATAGGGATCTGATGTTTATTATACTTGTTATAATATCCGTACATGTGTTTATGTGCATACCATATCCCCCATGGCAGGGTTGTCTCTACGTACAACCTTTGCCATGGGAGGAAGATGGGGCAATCCCATACTAAGTTTGAGAAATCTAAAATTTATTAATTAAAATCACTAAATTTAAAATCGGCCAAGACGTTTATATAGAGTACCGTCTTTTATAACAGGACTAATATTTATTTAATATAACTAAAAAATTTTTTTTTTTAGAAATTTACCTATAATTGTAGAGTTCGCATACTTGTGTGCGAGAAGGCATGTCAGGAACGTTTTCTGACCAATTCAATGTGGGCTGACTGTTGTTTATGTTGGTTTCTATTTACATGTTATAAACCGTATACATTGGGATGCGTATAATTAATTACATGTTTGTAATTAGCAGAGTTTGTTGTAGATTTTGTAAGTTCTACCGAACACCCGCTTTATAAAGTTAATTTTGATTGGTTTAGAGAGAATTGCCTCCTTTGTTCTCATTGGTCTAAAATTTCTTCTATCTAAATAAGGCGGTCAATCCGATTTTTAAGTGATAATTGAGATCGCTCAAGATTATAAAGTCCAATCAGTTGATCAATCAAGCATACATAGGTCGTGTCACACACACTGATTAATCCTTTAGTACGACCATGTCCAGGGGCTGTATCATACCTTGACATCTTCGATGTTTAAATGTCGTTATTTTAACGTGGTGTCTTTTTACCCAAAAGGGAAGTTTATGATTAACAAATTTAAGAAATGCCCTTTTCATTTTTTTTGCATTTTTCAAACAAATTATTAATTAAACAAGATACAGTTTAGAAATCAAAATCAAACTCGTAAGCTCCCAGTCTAAATTTAGGGATATATCCCTGCATTAATTATCTAATCCGGCGGCTATATTGGATAGCGAAACAGATTAAACAGTGTACAAATTTTCTAAAAACAAACCAGTTTAAACCTGAAATAAGCTGTTGTTCACAAAATTCAACTATTCTGCGAATACGATTCTACGATCGTATTGATCGCATTGTGATATTACAACGATAAAAAACTTTTAACCTACCTTGTTTTGCAATATTCTGAATTTTATTTATTATCCATTTCCAATCGTGTTTTTCCTTTTTTCATTTCGCCCGCGCTATTTCTGATTGGTTTATATGATTCACGTGATACAAAACCAACGCTTTAATCTCATTGGTTGTTTTGAAAACGCGTGATATGCCTAGATGCATTAATAATGCCACGGATTTAAGTTAAGGTCCGTGCTAATGCGGAAGAAACTAGCATACTAAGACCTTAATTTGATTAAAAATAATGCAAAAATATTTAATTGAAAATATAATGAATCCATAAACGATAACTTTGCATACATGTATAAAATAACCATTGATACTTTTTCATAGGCAAAACTTAATCGGTTATTTATTTTTTTATAATAATAATAATAATAATAATAATAATAATAAAAGACGTTTAAGAAGCGCTAAGAAATATTCATAAATGAAGACGTTTAAGAAGCGTTAAGAAATATTCATAAATTACACATTGTAACAACAACAATAAGCGGGTAAAACATGAAAATAAAAATAAGAAATAACTTCTCTAGAGAATGTACTTTTTATATTTCTTTATTTTTTTAGTCGAATTGTCAAAATTCTAAAATATTAAATTGTTTTTATAAAGGATTGATAATTAATTGTAAAATTTATCATATATTTTAGTTTGACAAATGTAATTAAATAAATGTATGTGTGTTGAAAGCCCAGTACTTACATTAGAATTTTTTTATTCATTATCTGCTCTTATGGAATAACTGTTCTGTTTGGGACTTTATTCATATAATGTCCTAGTTTCTATTATGCAGAAGACACTTCATTACATTCAAATATGCTTTAAAGCCAATGAGGACACTTATTACTTTATGTAAATATTTTATGTTTATTGGGGGTAACTTTTAGGCCCATTGGGTCGGGTGTATTAAATATGCTGTAAAATTAGATTTGTAAAATATGTTTACACACGTCACTAAAATAAATAAATTACTTACTTACTTATACACAGAATAAAAAAATAAAGATCCCTTCACATTATCTGCGGATTTAATAATTGAAATAAAATTTTACCAGTATAAGAATATGTGGAATATCGGTTACAATTCAAAAGTCCAATTTGAAAAATGATTTTACTATCAATATATGATTTATTATGTTCTTAACTTGAAACTTGATTTTTTTTACAACAAATGGCGACATTTTTTATTTTTTAAACAAAAAATTACTTATACAAAAAAATGTTTCAAAGATACATAGTTTATTATAACCAGGGTACAAATGTTTAATTTACATAGTACGGCCATGTTCCCCTGTCCTGAACAATGTTCAAGTCACCGAATTATGCAGGAACACGGCTGATGGGAGATGAGAACACTCGGGAGATGATGATGATATTTTTCAAGAAATGCTATTTCGAATAATTTGACATCATCTATCAACAATACACGTACATACAGCGCAGTGATATTCATCTGATTCTAGCTTTTTAACTTAGATATAATTGGACCTGGCGGCAGTGTACTTCAGAATTTACTTTAAGATATAACTTAATTGTATCTTGTTTAAATGACGAAATCCGCCAGATAAAAGGATAACAACAACACGACGCTGCAAAAACATTGGCTATATCTGTTTCATTTTAATATGTCAGGTTAGAGTCTTTATAATATCTGGAATAAAATATAGAGACTCTGTTATAAGATCCCAATTTAATTCCATTCTTTCTTACAAGAAATTAACAGTGAAAATTACCGTTAATTAAAGACATTCAACACCAATTGCGCGAACTTACATAATCGGAGAAAACCGACACTCGTGATACCCTGCTGCGTTTATGATCAATATCCGGATCAATATCCGGCTTAATCAGTATTGGCCTCGATTATCGCAATACAGCACGTGGCTGTTACGCAATATTATGTCAGAAATGAGACCGCGCGAAAATAATTAAAATTGGGGAATTCGGAACTTTATAAGATTTATATTCCAAACTTGTGTATAAAAATGCAAGTCTTTATGTTTCCTGAAATGAATGATTAAATAAATAAATGATAAATAACTAAATAAATACATAAATAAATAAATGAATAAATGATTAATGAATGATTGATTGTTTGATTGGTGGTTGATTGATTGATTGAATGAATGAATGAATGAATGAATGAGTGATGAATGAATGAATGAATGAATGAGATATCATTCACATTGTTGTTTTTTTACATATGAAAGTACATGTATTAAATTATTTATAGGATATATATAAACGTAAAATTTTAATACTGTGTGTGGACAATCCCGATTTCATCTTCGTGATTCCATAATTTTATCTTTTACGATTTCAACTTCACAGATCCACGATTTTAATATAATTATTTTATGTTTTGAACATCACAATTTTAACTTTATCATTTTTTCATGTTTGGCTTATCATTTTAAATCATTATAATGATAATGATTAAGAAATTACAAAATAACATAATTCACCTTAAATGCAGAATACAAAAAGTACTATCTAATCGTCAATCGCAATTGTAAAGTATTCGCTATTTATCTACGGCTGTATGCTAAAAAGCAAACCAAGCGGTATTGAGCTAGAATACCGCGTCGCCTTGTATACAAAAGAAGATATTTCAATATACGTTGTCGTTCTTTGTCTGCATGCTACAGGTGGATGTTTTACACGTTCTGTGAACTGACGATATTATTAGTATGCAAGTGACGTGTTTAAACTTCCAGAAAATATTACATCGTGTAAAAGCGTTCCTGTTTTATGTTAGTTTGTCAAATGTCTCACAAATATTAGATCAGACTATTTCTTTCCTCTCATAGGTAATAGGCGATTTAGAAGTAAATCTTCATTCGCTATTTTTATATACAGAATCCGTATTTGCACGAATACTGAATTTCGTATTTTAGTAATATACGGACTTGTTATAAAAATTCCGTATATCATTAAAATACGGACTTCGTATATCAAAGTTCCCGTATATTACGAGTGTACGGATCACCGTATATTGGTCATATACGGACTGACATAATATACGGTCCCGTACATCTCCGTATTTTCAGTTTTCTGTATTCTTACCCGTATATTAATGATATACGGAATTCCGTACACTTCCGTATATCCATACCTTTTTCGCAGTGTCACAAAGCTGAAAACCACGATATGTCGAGTTAGAATATGCCAAGTCGTTAATGCTAAATTGATTAATGCCAGTTTATAAGATTTCAAACTGTAAAGCGCTAATCCCCAAAATGCAAAAAGTAACTTGCAATTTATGCATGATGAAAAACTATTTCACATGTTGTGCTTATACTTACACAAAATGTTTAAAGTTTAATTTCATTATTTTTCAAGAAAATACCAAATCTTACATTGTTAACCTATTTTGCTATTTTGAATGAAGCTTTTGTCTTATCACATCGACAATCTACATATTTCACAAGTTAAAATGAAAGTGACAATTCTCAATATGGTAACACGCAATACGCCAAGCTTACATTGGATTTTCATTACGTTTTAAACTAACAAAAGTTTCCTAAATGCTAGCTTTACTTAATTTACAGAATGGTTTTGAAAAGTTATGTCCGCTTTTTAACAAAACGCCATTTTCTTTGGATATTTTAATAGTTAACGCTATTTGTTGCCACTTTCATAAAATGACATAGGAAATAGTGGAAATAAAAAACATGTTGAGAGTGAAACTCTGTCATGCCATACGAACTGTCAACATTGAAGATAAATTGATGGAAACTTATGAACTGATGCAACAGTTATCATTACTCACCTGCATGGATGGACCTCTAAATTTTGTAAAACAGGCATTAGATCTGATGCATGATACTGATATTGACAATGTTTTCCGTGTCGAAGTTCCACTATCTAGTGGAAAGAGGAGTAGGCCAAAATATGATATTCCAGTTTCAGTGCTTGAATATTTGGTTTATCACAAATTTACTGTAAAGGACATTTCTCAACTTCTTATGACGAGTAAGAGTACTGTAAAACGTCGTCTCAAAGAATATGATCTGAAGATTGGCAGCAACTATTCAAGCATTGAACAGACACTGTTGGAGGACCTAGTGAGGAATATCACACAAGAATACCCAAATGCTGGTTATCGGACTGTTTTGTCATCAAATGGTATGTATTTTATGTATTCATTAGTTTAGAAACCAGTAAATTATCATTTAAAAATAAAGGGGAAAAAATCCCCAAATAAACGGTACCTGGTGGTTTCCCAAAAGGCTAAAAAAATACTGTTATGTTTTCCTAAAATAACGAAGAATCTGTTACTATATATCATGCACTATGTAGAAAAAGTAAATTTTCGATTGAAAGACACATTTTATCGGTAAAATTCAACATCACGATTCTTAGTATTCACTATATTTAATGTTTACTGCGTTAGTCACGGGGTAAAAATCTAAGCTGTTAAGTCTCCGAATAATCAATACCTGTAACAATTTTAAAGTTAAATAGTACATCACTCATCAAGTATCGATGGTCAGCATCTAAACAAACAAAAAATATAGCTTTTCAATAAATTTCTTTTTTGTCACAATTAATTTGCTGACAAGTCTTAAGTTCATGATGAATACACTTTACAGTGTATATTTACACGATAAAAAAATCAAAACTTAGGGAGAAAACAACTCTTATACTGATAAAAAAAATAATCACAGGACTTCTTTACAGCTTGTTCCTTGCTAACTTTTGGCATATAATTTGTATAGAATATGCGAGAAACTAGTTACAGCTTATGTGATAAGTCTACATTTACTAGATTTTAGCTGACAAACAATTTTTTTACACAATGTAACTACATGATTCAATCATTTAAAATTTAATTTAGTCTCCCTTTCTTTTTATGTCAGTTTATCTTTAATTTGCTAGCCTGTTCATGGTGTCAGTTTAAGTTTCATGTGCCAATCCTGTTCTCCTTATACTGAATGCTGCAATGTTGCTGACCCTGTTTTCCAAGACATTTGAGAAATTTGTACTAGTATTTCTGTAAATTGATTGTGCTATAGATTTGATATATTAATTGGCAATATTTTGAAAAAAAAATCTTTA